CAACCAGCCAAATTGCCTGATACAGTCTCGTTCTAGCAGCAGCAGCACTTTAGCTCAGAGCAACTCTCATTTCGTCGTTTCTTCGCGGAACGCGCGCCTTACTCGCGTGTATATATGCGGCGCGTGCGGCGGCGGCCAAATTGAGTTATCTCGCTCGAGTAAACCCGCTGAAAATGATCTATGCTTGAGTATTTACACTATGGTAGGTGCGAGGCTCGCTACTCCTTGTGTGTCGCGAGGCATACAAAACAGTGAACTTTGCAGTTTGTGCACAAGCGAGAGAGCGAGAGAGAGGGAGTAAGAAAGAATAGCTTCTTGCAGCAGCTTCGAGCAGCAGCCGCAGTTAAGCAAGATAAAAGAGATATGAAGAATAATAAGAAATGAAGAAAAATTGTTTGTCCCGCGAGCGAGCCAGCAGCAGCATCTTATAAACCTTCTTTTTTATTTTTTTTGTTATTTTCGTTGAACGTGCTCGCACACCCCTCGAAAAAATTATTCTTCTTAATGGGAGGCAATATCTAGCCGAGTGCGAATAACAAAAGGCGAAATTACCTTTGACTCGCGATGAGCGACTGTACGCGGGGGATAAAAGGAACGTAGAAACTTTAACTGCGCGTAACGTGTATAATTGCGCTGAAACAACGGGAGTAATTTTGTAAAATAGAAAATAGCTGCGCGTTATATGACGGACAGGTTACAAGTGCACAAGGTGTTAATGTCAAGACTGCGTTAAGGAAGGATATACTCTTACAAATTGTTCCCTTATATAACAGTGCAGCCTAGAGCTGCTGCTTTCTAGAGAGACGTGCCACACACTCTACAGCTCTCTCGTTCGCAAACTCGAGAGCAGCGTGGCGCGGCGCAAGGAGGATTTGTCTCCATTAAAGGGATTGAGGTTTTGTCGCTCCTTCTCTCTCTCTCACCTACCCTCTTCGAAGCTCGCTACTACGCACTTCTGTATACTACTTTCTTTGTTGAAAACGCGAACTGTGGTGGTAGATTTCGTATGAGCTTAAAAAGTGCTCGCGTGCTGGACACAAAGGGATTTGCAGCGAGGATTTTTTTTTGTACGAGATAATTTTTGGTGTTTCATTGACATCGAATATTTGCCATAAAGTCGTTTTGAAACAAAAAAGAGCAAAACTTTTGAATCGTCGATTAAGAAGAAAAAATAATCGTACATGCATAACTGCCGCGACGAGTTTGCGTGAGAAATTGAACTTTGAAAGCGTCGCGATGTATGCCAACGGTTTGTCTCTTCGCATAATAATCCTGGCCGAGAGCCAAAGCTCGGCTCGGTTAAGAGTCTCCGGTCATAATTACAAAAAGCGAAGAGGTCACGCGCGACGATGATTGCCGGAGAAAATCATTCCCCCCCCCCCCCCCCCCCCCCNAGCGAACTGTTGATTTATGGCTCTGATAATGACCTCGAATAAGTTCCGAATGAGTTAAAAAAAGGGGGGGGGGCTAGCGCAAAAAAGCTCCTGTAATCTCGGGGCAGAAAATTTCATACACGAGCTTTGTTTTTGTTTGCTTTTCTCACCTGCCGCGGCGATCTGTTGATTCAGCTATCGACGAAAAAATGAAAACAGCCTCGATCGACTGTTTACCGTGAACTCTGGACGCGGCCAGCGCGACGTAATGATAACGAAAAAATAAGTGAGCAGTAGTGGATGAAATCCACTGGTCTGTATATATATGTAGGCTCGCTATAACGGGCATTACGGCGCGATTTGCCTGGCGACGAACCAACAACGAATTCGTATATCGGTTATCTGCAAGTGTTATAACGCACTCTGGGTGGGTGGAGGGACAACTACTACCGCTACTACTGCTGCTGCTGTTGCTGCTGCTGGTGATGGTGGTGCGGTGGTTTCGATAGCTTATAACCGTGCGGCCGGTTTTGTGGCCGAGCCAATGAAATTTACGAGCTAATGAAATCGACTGTAGCAGGCGATATATATTACGATATATAACAGGCCAACTAGCTCTCTTCTCTCTCTCTGCGTTATAAGCCAATCTTAAAATGAATATAATATCGCGGCGTGTGCAGATGATCTCGTCGTAATGCTCTCGAATATATATACATCGACGTGGCACAGTGAGAGACGTGTAAATCCTCCCGTACTTCCCCCCTTGGTCCCCCGACCGCCACTCCGTGCTGAGCCGCGCGTGAATGGCCCATCTCGGATATGCCATATTGATTTTAATAGCCACTGCTGCAGTCGCGCCGATAAAAACGCGCCCATATATCGTAAACAAGCGCGAATAAGTTTTTACCTTCCCTCCTCCCTTGAGCTGCAGTTACGTCGGAGTCGAGCCTTATCACCCCCGTTATATAGCGAGTGCAAATTCGAGACTCCGCGTATACGTATCCGCGACGATCCATGTGCGCGCCGATAAAAAAATTTTACGCGTATCTTTCGAAATGAGAGCCGTGGCATTCGCGACGATTTTCATCAATTCCACGATCGAAAATTAACGATCTCGTCGTCCGATGTAAAAAAAGAGCCCGCGCGCGGACAAAGATCTTTGCGCATCATTTATTCAGGCAGCGTATTGCAAACTATTTTAGTTATATACATGCGTGCTATATATATGTGCGCGCGAGAGAGAGAGAGAGAGAAAGTCAAGAAAGAGGAGGAGAACACACACTATAACATCGCATCCCCGGGGTGCTCTTACCGACGGCCAATAAAACTTTGCGTTCAGCGGCAGCGGCAAAAAAAAGGAAAGAAAACGTCCGAGAGCCGGCGGACCTTTTCCGCGGCGGAGTACTAATGTCCAAGCGCGTTCGTGCCCTAGCCTCTCTCTCTCTCTCTCTCACTCACGGACTAAGCTTCATTTTGACCCAAGAGAAAAACTTCTCTCGCTTGCCTCGGAACAACGACGACCGGCAGATTATATTTTTCTTCCTAATACTCGTCGTCTAGTTTTTGCGTCTTGTTTTCTATACATACGTCGTTGTCGTGAATATCAAATACAAACGAGACCCGAGGGCAGTTCTAGCTCGAGTCCGAAAACTAATTCAACTATGCGTTTCGATAAATATATAATATACGTTGGGCCATTCGCGTTTCGTGATTTTAGCAGTATATACATCGAAACGGTATATAATCATTCGCTCGAGCCTTCTGTGCACTAGGCAAGCAGTGGCCAGCTGCTTCCTAGCTCCTCTATATACCATATACGGCTCGGGGTAATTAGTGACTTGAAGGAGCGAAGCCACACGCCACTCAAGAGGAAGGCATCGACCCTGGCCTCTCGCTCTCTCTTCGTCTCTGTTTCGAATAGCAGATAGAAAGGGCACAAACACGACTATGCACTCGCTTTAATTGAGAGCTCACCTGATTTCTGCTACGGCCAGTATACCACTATATAGCTGTCGTATGCAGGGGAGCTTTAGAAGCGGTTATTATACTTGCTCTCTCTCTCTCTCTTACTCGGGGTATAAGCTCACCTCTCGATTCCTCGGCTTAGGATTCAATGCCGGACAAGGTGTCCATTGAGAGAGCCTTTGCTTAGAGAGCTTCAAAAGCTTCTCTCGCTCGCTCTCTGTATGCTCGGACCTCGACGACGCGGAAATCGACGGAATAAAATCGTACTCGTTGCTTTGCTCTCTCAGACACACACACACACACACACACACACACATACACCCTCGATCTCTCTCTGGTACTAGCAGCTATTATAATCCAAGTTTATACGTAATATTGCTGCTGCGGGAGAGAGAATCCAGCTGTTGCTCTCTCTCTCTCTCTCTCTAAGACTCGGGTGGATAATAATAAACAGAGGGATTGTATATATAACATAATACACTTGGCGTAGGGAGCTCTGCTCTGCTCTGGCAGCTTAACAGTGCGCGCGCGAGGCATCCTCTCTCTGCCGCTGCTGCTGCTTGTTCAGTTAATATTTACTCGGGAACCTTCCCGCGCGCAACAGCAACCGTCATCCTTATATTATATGCGACTAATCGATTTAATACAGTGATAATTGAGATTAAACTTGTTTCAGCTGTATATATATAGCTCATTTTTCTTTTGGGTCAACGAGTCAGCAGCTGATGATATTGTATGCCACTGGCGGAAATGAGCTCTCGGTACGCGTATATAGTAGCAATATTGTATAATTGACAAATAATCATACGGCTCGTTGCGGCGCTGAATCGTAATGGATACATTAGACTTGATCCGCGCGCCTATATTTGCCTATAAGCCACCTTGTGATTGTTCTGGATTTAGCATTCATCCTAATCTATACGCGTTCTGTGTATAACGATCCTCTCCTCCACTGCGAGAATTAAGTAGAAAACACTGCGTTGGGTCATACGACGACGATCGTAGTACGCTGAATTATATATAAACATCGGGGTACCTTCTCTTTTTTTTTAATCTATTCGCGGATCCGGGCATATTTGATCATCGGCAATTATTAATCCGATGAAGCAGCTTTTTTCCAAGTCGACTCGCTCGGCGCCTTGTTTGATTTAATTGGAAAATTGAAACTTCATAAAATTTATAAGTACTCCCGAGGCCGAATAGGGGGAGGGAGAGAGGGAGGAAAAAGGATCTATTCTCGACGATATTGGCAAGATTACCTCGCGGCTGTTAGCTTTGGCAAAGAATATCAACGTTAATCGGATTAAAAACGATCTAAGAGAGAGGGAGGGAGTTGGAAGAAGAAGAGCGAGCGATCAGTCTGGCAGACATCCGCAACGACTTCTTCGTCTTCTTTTCAGCTTCTAAAGTTTCCTTTTCGAGTTTCATATCGATAAATCAGCCAATACTTAGTAAGTGAACGGTCCCGAGGAAAGTTAAATTTAATAAGCTCCCGAGAGGAGGAGCAGCAGCAACTTCTCTCTCGCGATTCATTTTCTAGCTACGCTGTAACTTTTATGTTTCAGAAGTGTCGTCGAAAATATTTTGCTTTTTTTTTTGGGGGAGGGGGGCACGAAGTAAAAACAGATTTTTTATTCAACGTATACGATAAACAAGACTCACCTTTACTGCTGCCGGTGTACTTGTCTCGCAGCACGTTGATCTGGTGCACCCGGCCGAATTCCTCGAAAATGGTGCGCAGATCGTTCTCGTCCAGGTCCTTGGGAACTTGGCCGACGAACATCTTGATGTTGTCGGGATCGGGCTTCTCCACGACCGAGTCACGATTATTGTTCATGATGCTGCAATGAGGAAAATCAGAATATCGAGATTAGTCGATGTACATTTTCGAAATCGAATTTAATCATCAAAGAAATTGCGCGCGAGCAATAATCTCGGCTCGAACTGCTGTGCTATACATTAAGCGTCAAATTTCATACTATTCGTATATATGGGTAGCTGCGCTTTCGCAAGGATTAATTAAGCTTTGTTGTTGCGTCCCTATCAGCCGCCAGCTGCCATTTCTAATTTATAGGGGAATTCAACGTCAACGTCACTACATTTATTAATAATTGATTTCGAACCTCACATGTATACTCTCGCGAATAATTATCCGATGAATAGCTGTCATATACATTTACATTGTCGTGTCGATTTGCAAATGAAATTGAATCGCGTGTGTATACGAGTTAATAATATCGACCTCAGATGAGGTACCGCGCGTAAAAACGAAAAAGATGTGTGCTTGCCAGCTCCGTGGCAATTGACAAATGAGATCGCAAACGAGAGAGAGAGAGAGAGAAAGACAAGAACAAGCACGAGCATACAAGGAAAGTTAAGGATAAACTGTCCCTTTGCTCCTTCGTCGTCGTCGTCGTGCTGCAGTAAGGTAATGTATGGCGGTGATTTTGAGCAAAGTTGCTTAGAGCTTGCAAGCTCGCCTGTGCTTGCGCCTCTTCGGCAACGACGACGACGACGACGACGACGACGACGACGATGAACAATGCGCATCGCGCAGCAGCTCGACCCGGAGTTTCGTTTCCGACTCTCAAAACTTCTCCAATATTTTAGAGGTCGCCTCCGAGAGAGAGAAAGAGAAAGAGGCAAGAGAGAGAGAGAGAGAGAGAGAGAGAGAGAGAGAGAGGATTTAACCGGGTGCATACACATTCGCACTAGCTCGGGCGAGAAAACGAGGCGATCTTGTATAACATCTCTCCCGGGGACCGTTAAATAATTCCCAATGCTCGCACACACACATACGTTCTGTTCTGTGTCGGGTACAGAGGGGTGAGCATTTCGCACTTCCTCCTTACTCGAAGCTAGCTAGAGCAGCGTAGTCCAAAGATTTAAGGAAGGAAGTTTCATCCGCGGGCCCCGATGCACGGAAGCGAGCACACGTGGATCCCATTTCCTTCTTCGATTGCTTATATATACGGAGAGAAAGAGAGAGAGACGAAAATTAAACTGCAAAAAGCACAAAAATGTCACGGTGTCGTTCGTCATTTTTGCTTATGCAACTCGACGCTCGAAAAAAACTGCACGGATGTGTACGAATTCTCCGTGGGTCGCAGCACAAACGCATTAGAAAATGAAAAGTTCGAGCGAAAATTGAACGGCAACTGCGGCGCGTGGTGGGCTCAATTTCAAAGATTGAAGTGCGACTTTTGAGCGACCTAGGAGCGCCGTCGTATACTACAAGCTAAAAAAGGCCAACAGAGAAATGGTAAAAGGAGAGTGAGAGGCCGCAATGATCATTGGTCTACTTTTTTTTATCTGGAACGAAATAGGCGAGCTTCAATGACGTGAAAAACGATTTTTTGACTTGATGCACGAGAGAGAGATGACTCGGAAAAAAAGAGCACGAAAAAAAGGCGAACGAAAACTATTACGGCTCTATCGTAAAATCAATGAACAAGAAGATCACATTTCCCCTCATTGATTCGTTAAATCTTTTCGGCATCAAAACAATCTCCCGCGCGCGGCGGTACACGCTACATACAACTTTTTTAGCTGGCACGGCGCCCATCGTTTGATATTAAAATTTATACGTCCTACGTACGGATCGGGGTCACGACGTGTACTTTCAATTCTCTCCTTACTCTCTTTTCGCCTCTCCGCGAACTGGTGTATAAGACGGGCGCGAGCGGGAAATATTCTTGTAAAACAAGTTGAAAATATCGTCATCCGCAGCTTTCAGATAAAAGAGAGAGAGATGGAAGGAGAAGGGTTTCTGGCAAGAGCAGTAAATTACAAACTGCTGTCGAGTGTACTTGAGGCAGCATCATTAGAAGTATTTATACCTAAAGCCTCTTTTGAGCTTTCTCTCTCTCGTCGATTCTTTCTTGTTTTTTTATTTTTTCGCCATGAAAGAAACGATTGTTCTTTGAATTTTATGGAAAACGAGAGACTTTGGGCGGAGGACTCTTTAATTGGTTACATTTTAATGATGTTTTGCCCGATTTTCAAATATATTTCGTGTAATGATAATTTTCCTTTGAGTTACTGAAAATTTTGCTAAACTTGTAAAATCCAACAAATTTCTCCGTCGGTATTTAATTTTCAAAGGTTATAACATTTTTTACTTTGCTAAAAAAAGAGATACGGCGTGGTTTTTTTCTTAAATATTTGCTTGCTCAAATTCAATTTGTTCACGAGTTCAAATGCTCGAAGTTTCAATGATTTTAATATTCCCCTTTTACATCCGCTTTTTTTAATATTTGAATTGCAATTAACTTTTCTAATTTAACGTTCCAACGATTATTATTAGTCTCTCTCAAATCGACCTTAATTAAAATATGGCGTACAGCATGAAAATCATCAATATATATATATACGTATATAAAAATATCCGGAGGTAAGGAAATTTTCAAAGAGAAGCAAGTCTCTTTACCCGTAGCCAAAACGCGACTTTGTGCTTCATTAAATCATTTTATTGAGCGAAAAGTGCGTGCGCGGCTGCTGCGAATCAAAGGCCAGAAGAGAGAGAGAGAGAAACTTCATCGGGTCCCGGAGAATTCATAACCAGATTTGTCGAAATGAGAAAAGAGAGCACCGCTCACCATCAATTCGATCGAGAGACGACGAGGACGACCTAGGCGTAAACGCGTCTCTCTCTCTCTCTCTTTATATATAGAGCAGAGAGAACTGTACATTTTCAATATGAATGGGCGAATTCGTCGTTGTGCCCTCGAGGGAACTACTACTCTCGCTAAAGTATGGATAGAGAGAGAAACGTCATAGAGCATCTGGCAAGTCAATTTCATAAGGAGAGCCGGGGCTAATGCTATTAACGTAATGCTCTTTACCGTAAATGCGGCTTAATAATGACACCGAATGCAATTGTTTCGCCTTCCATCTCTCTCTCTCTCTCTCTCTCTACGGGTAGAGATCTGCGCCACGCGACGGAGCCCGGAAGACGACGACGAGTAAGAAATTATGTTGTCGCTCGTGCCGTCGTCGGGTGATGCCGCGACATCGGCTATAAAGACAATTATTTCAGAGCGGAGAGACAGACGGAGAAGTAGAAAGTTGACTTGTATTCCGTCTTGTTTCGAAGATATTTCATTTCGCTCGTTGTCCTAATGAGTTTTACGTTTAAGCAAACTTTTCGATTATGTGCGGCACGAAAGAGAGAGAAATATAGTGGACAGGCTGCAATATTTAATCCGCTACTCGACTGCGCTGACAGCTTTTCGAAACGCGTCCGCGAGTTACACATTTTGGACTTTGTGCGTTGATTACGCCGCGCGTATTAGCAGTCGAATGCGCCTGTGTGTGTGTTGGACACGAGATGAGAAACTAAAGTTGGAATAATACGCGGGAATAACTCGACTATACGGCTGCGCAAAATCAACTTTTTAATCTTTTATATCGGAGCTCTCTGAAAGGGCTGCTCGCGGCCCCATGCACTCGCGGGCACTGCAGCAGCACCATGATGCAGGCAGAAATTATTTTTCAAAATGAGAAAAAAGAGCTCCCACCGCTGCTGCTGCTGCGCTGTAATTAAGTTGCCCGCGCGAGTCTCTTTCGGCTTGCGCACAGCACATACGTCGAAGTATACGCGATGATAAAGGCCGCGCCGGCGCGCATCGTGCAAAACTTAACGAAGCTTGTATGTATCGTAAATAAGCTAGGCAGAGAGGCAAAAACGATTGGGGGGAGGAGGAGACAATTAAATTTTTCTTCGATCGACGAGCTAGAAAATTTCTGTTGCACTATAGCAAAATAACAAAAAAAGAAATAAAAAGCAGCAAGCTGATAAACTAATTCACAACGGATCAAAGGACCAAAAATCTGAGCGTCGTATTTGTGCGCGCCCCAAAAATTGAAGCTGCACCGTTTAATAATCCAATATGTTTCCATCAATAAAATTAGCTTAGCTCGAATGTCAACACAAAAGTCCCTATATAGCGCGCAACGGTGCGCCGCATTCGATATAATTATGTTTTCTTTTTTTTTTTTATCATTCGAGCGAGAAGTGGATGCTGCAGCAAAAAAAAAGTTATTACCGCGCGAGCTTTTAAAGTCCGAAAGGTCGGTCGGTGCGTCTGTCTGTAATAAAAGGTATATAAAACTGAATGACGATGAATTTGCGCACGGGGCGCAGCCAGCCATAGTCAGTCCATTGAAATTCAAACGAGGTCAAGCGCGCGTGCGCGCGAGATAACCAGCTCCGCAGCACACCTCGATAGTAGTAGTAGTCGTCTATATAAACGTACTTTCGGGATTTTATCGACGAGTCGATATCGTAACCCATTACGATTTGCGCGCGCCCGTCCGAAATGCACGATAATGCATGCTGTAAGCAACGGTGCGGCGTCTTTTGTGCGTATTATTTTCGCCGCGAGCTATATATCTACCACTCGAAATGTACGAGCGAAAACAAATGTTCGCTCGTTCTCGCTCATTGAAATGCGCCCTCTTGAAAGCCTTATTAGAATCGTTTATCAAAATTAGGCAGATCCGGCATGCACAGAGAGAGAGAGAGATATATTCGCCCGGGCTTATATTGCTCTGCTCCCATCATGCTCCGTGAAGCCACCACCGAATGCATCATCTCTCCCTTGCAGCTCACACACGTGTGCGCTGCGGCCCTTTATCCCTCTCGCTGCTGCTGCTGCTGCTGCTGCATGATGAATGAAGGGCTCAGCCCAGTGTAAAATCATGCTCGTACATGCATCGTTGACACTCACGTCCTAATGCATCCACGCACACATACTCACACAGACACCCACACGAGCGACCTTGGCCCTTTTGACCTTGCTCGGCGGCGGCTCGGGGGCCTGGGGATCGCTCGCAGGGA